CCCTTCTGTCAATTCCTTTAAGTTTCAGCTTTGCGACTCAATTCTTTTAAGTTTCAGTTTTGCGACCGTACTCCCCCCGGAACCCAAAGACTTTGGTTTCCCAGAAGCTGCCAGTCAGGTCATGGGAATAACGCCACCACATCGATTAAAACACTGTTTTTTAAGTTTTTACAATGGTATTAAAGTTTTTGCCTTTGCAAAAAAAAAATATTAAGGCAGTTCTACTAGAATATCTCAAATCTCAATATTTGGATTTGGAGAAAGTCATAGTTTTAGTACATATTTTATTACCGTGTTATTAATTCTTTTTACTTTTCCCTTAGCTAAGATAGCAAATGATTAAACTAATGCTAAATGTAATATTAATAGTAAGACTTTTTTTAAAGGTTTTTACTGTAGGGTGTGTGTACTCATCAGAGAGAGACAGAAAGAGGGAAAATGAGAAATCACCCCCCAAAGGTGTTGGCCACATAGCAATCCTTTCTTCTCCATTCTCCTCCTAGGATTTTGGGCATGCATGAATACTTGCCCCACAAGATTTTAGAGCCACCAGGTCCAGGACTCAAACCGTGGCCAGTCTTGTGGGATCCAGAACCTTAACCACCATACCACCTGGTAATCCTATAGTTTATGTTTGTTTGGTTTTGTTTTTGTTTTATAGTGTGTGCCCTCACTGGGGAGACAGAGACAGAAGGAAAGTGAGAAATCAGCCCCAGAGGGGATGGCCTTTCTTCTCCATTCTCCTCCAGGGATCTTAGGCACCCATGTACACATGCCTGACTTGAGTTTCAAGGCACCGAGTCTGGGACTCAAACTGCAGTCAGCTATGCGGGAGTCCAGTGACATAACTGCTACACCATCTGCTGGTCCCATCCTATAGTTTATGTTTAAGGGAAATTCAATGTTATCATTTTTAAGAACATCACAAAGACTAAAATTAATTCAGGAAATGTTACCTTACAGATTATTTTGAAGAACTATTTTAGTGAATAAGCAAGTAGTATTTCTGATTTTTAAAATTATCACTCCTTTGTTTCATTCTACTTCCTCTACAGATTTTTTAACATATGTATTTTTTCTGCTTGAACTTTGAAAATGTTTATTTACTTTAATTGACACATAAAAATTATATGATTTTGACATAGTTATATGTTGTGAAATGGCTAAATCAAACTCAACATACACATTATCTCACCATTTTTTTTGGTAGTACAAACACTTAAAATCTACATTTTTTAGCAATATTTAAAGATGCCATATATTAAACATAGTCACCATGATGTACTATTCTTAAACTATTTATCTCTTGAACTTATTCTTCCTGTCTAACAGAAATTTTGTTCTGTGACTAACAATTCCCAATTCCTCCAAACCTCAGTCTTTGATAACCATTTCTAAATATTTCTAATAAAAATATACATGATATTTCGGGAACCAGCAGTTAGTGTAATGGCTATGACTACCATGTAGTCAACCGCGGTTCGCGTCCCGGACCCGGTGGCTTAAAACTCACGCCGGGTGCATGTGCATGCGTGCCCAAGATCCCGAGAGGAGAATGGAGGAGAAGGGATTGTGGCGTGACCATCCCCCCGGGGGGTGATTTCTCGCTTTCTGTCTCTCTGTCTCTCTGTCTGTCTGGCGAGTGCACGCGAAAACCTCTCCAAAAAAAAAAAAATATATATATATGTATATATATATGTATACATGATATTTCTAAAATGTTCAGAATCATGCTCTTAAAACAGCTTTTGAATATTGTTCTTGTTTACATTACTTATTTGCTCAGCAAACCCTTTTAATGATGGAGGAGGTATTTATTGAGAACTTTCTGTGTGAAATAATGCTTACAGAAACCCTGTTTTCACACTTAGGTATAGGTTTTTATTTAGTAGAATCCACTCACTGGCTCTGCAGCACTTTCGGGATAAAAAGCTCAAGACTGTCATGTGACACATTCAGCCCTCCATGAACCAGCTCCTTCTGCTCTGTTCACCTCCATCTCTCCTCACCTCACCTTCTACATGTAATAAGCAACTTGCTTTTTTTTTTTTTAAATTTTTGCTGTGGGTTATGTGTACTCACTGGAGACAGACAGAGACAGAGAGAGAGAAAGAAATTAAAAATCATCCCCCAGGGGGGATGGCCATGCTGCAATCCCTTGTACATTCTCCTCTCAGGATTTTGGGCATTTGTGCACATGCACCTGCCATGTTTCTCCAGCTGGATCCTACATGTTCCAGAACCCCTTCTAAGTCTATGTCTTGGGACGGGTTAACCCTCTGTACCTTCTTCACTGGAATGGCTCTTACACTGCGCCTCAAAAAGCTTACTTTTCCTTATCATGTGTTTCAGTGCCTCTGGGAATTTGAAAGGAAGAGTGCCAAGGATCTCCTACCCTCAGATGCTGAGCTCAGTGAAGCTGGCAATCACTATGCTGGTCTAGAGGAATCTTATAGTAAAGATGGACTTACAACAATGATAAGAATATAGTATATGTTTCAATAAAGCATGGGACCAGTAAAAGTTCTATCATTTATACATGCAAAATTAGCCAGTGTGTTTCTAGCACTGCCAAGTAAACGCTGAATAATGCAGTCACCGCTTATTCTACCGAACAGAAGATGTCAGTTTAGTTATCTAGAAGAACGACCTCATCTAATTGACTTGCAGGAAGAGACTAAGTACTGAGAAAAAGTGGTTATTTTATGAAGTGGGAGCGTTAATGTCTAACTTCATGTGTTAGTGCTCCTGATCATGTTTTCCTCTTAGTAGAGAGGCTTACTACCTTTTCCAGGAAATAGTTGCTTCTTCGGCTTCAGAGACACTACTTCTCTTGTTATTCTACCCTCTGGCTACTTCTCAGTGTCCTTTGCTCATCCTCCACACTTTCTTGACCTTCAAATTTTGGAATGTCCTAGAACTATGTCCTTAGATTTTTATTTTTTATCTTTCATTTTTTTTCTTTTAATTTGTATTGTGAGCAGGTGAGTGCACTCACCAGAGAGAGAGAAATAAAGCACACTGCAATGGGACATGATCATAGTGTAATCTTTTTTCTTTCATTTCTCCATCCTGTCAAGATTTTGAGCACACACATATGCACGCCCCTATGTTCTTTAAGCCAGCAGGGCTGGGATTCACACCTCAGCCAGACATGTGGGATCCAATTCTCTATGCATGTAATTAACTGCTACACTATGAAGTTGCCCCTCTGATCATTTTTGTTTTACTGATTCCCCAGGTGGTCCCATCTTGCCCCATAGCTTTAAATAATTGAATAGTGATGACTCTTATATTTCTGTCTTTCATATCCCCAGTCCTGAGTGAATCCCTCCTAAATACCAGGCTCATATACTCAGCTTCCACTCATCATCTTCACTGGACATCTTAATGTACTCTAGAAAGTTGTGTCTAATAAATCCAAAACTTAGCTCCAGACTACGTTTCCCTCATCCTACTCTTCCTCAGGTTTCCCCACCGCTGATATAAATAATACCAACTGTAGTTTCTTTTCTTTCTCTTGGGATCTTTCTCCTGTACTATGAATTTTATTCTGTTTTGGTGTTATTTAAGGAAGAAGGATAGTGCTGACTCTTGTTATTTCACTTTTGTTATTTCACTGTTCTAATTTGCTATAAATTTGAGAAAAACTTAGTTGTGAGAAATTCTGAACCTGCAAATCAAGTTGTCATGATTGCTTTTTCTTGGAATCACACTTTATCTGAATCAGAAAATATTGGTCATGTTCTATTTCATTGAAATTGATACTGTCTTGAAATAAATTATATTTAACATTTATAAATAAGTAGAATGAAATGTGCATTGTAAATATTCCTGAAGAACTAATGTGATATCCAAGTGGATTATTACAACACTTAGATTGTTCCAAATTTCATTTGAAATAAAATATAGCTAAGGTGTTTTAAAAACATTTATAAAGGGAGAATACTGTAATTACCTAATAGGAATGTCAGATCATTCTATCAACAAACATTGAAGATACAAAGATGAATAAAGAGACATGGTTTGGGACCAGCAGATGGGGTAAGGGTTACGTCACTGGACTCCCATGTGGTTGACCATGGTTTGAGTCCTGGACCCAGGAGCTTAAAACTCATGCTGGGCACGTGTGCATGCCTGTCCAAAATCCTGAGAGGAGAATGGAGGAGAAGGAATTGTGATATGGACATCTCCCTGGGGGTGATTTCTCACTTTCTGCCTCTCTGTTATTGTTTGTGTCTCTTGGGAGCGCACACACCCTATAGCAAAAATCTTTTCCTTTTTTTTAAAAAAAAAATGACATAATTCCTGTGTGAAGACTGTAGTCTATAAAAGATACAGACGCACAAATGCTACTTGTAATATAGAAAGGTATTGTAGGATTATACATGGTTTAGCCATTCTGTCAATAATAACAAAAATACTTGAATCTAGGTGACTTATATCATTGATTTTGAATTTTTTTATAGAGGACATGTGTGCTTGCCAGACAGAGACAGAGAGAGAGGGGGAGAAAGCACCCACATGGAGTATGGTCACAGTGCAATTCCTTCTCCATCCTTTGGGATTTGGGGCACATATGCACATGCTCTTGGCATATTTTTCGAGCCACTGGGGCAAAGGCTCTAACTATGCAGTTAGTCACGTGGGGTCTAAATCCCTTAATCAGTAGGCCATGGAGCCAGCCTGGGTCTGCATAAGTTTTAATTAGCTCATAGTTACAGAGTTCCAAGGTCAAGAGGCCACACATGGTGAGGGACTTTGCAGAGTTCTACGAGGGCACATGACGTTAGGTGGTGATAAGGTAGGAGAGCAAGCATAATTGGCTCTGTTAACTACCAGGTCACAGGTAGATGTACTCTATCCTTTTAATAGTAAAAGGTTATATTATAAAGAAGAGCGTATTTGCTCTGAAATATGGATGCTTTTGAAATACTCTCTGTTGGTAGATATGTATTCATCTTTTACAACCGAATAACAATTTTATATTTTTCTTTCAGGTGGTTTGCTTTGTTGGAGGTTCAAGTATGTGTTATTTTATTGCTATATAAATATGATTGTAGTCTCCTGGACCCAGTACCAAAACAGGTCTGTATTTTCAGAATTACAAATATTATAATTATATTCAAATTTGATATAAACCCTAACCCCTTGGTTTTAATTACTAGAGATGATCAAATTGATGTCCCCACTTAGCCTGATCTTAACAGGCCACTTAGACAGAATTAGACTGAGAAGATACTCAGGCACCTTAATTCTGGGTCTAATATATGGGCCTTGTTAACACATGGCCAGGACCTCGTGGAAATGTTTTGTATCACTTTTATTATTAAGAGCTGCTCAATAAATTTATCAACTTTGACCCTTTTCCTTGAGTTAAATACACATGGCTTTGACTTTGGTTTATTTCCTTGGAAAGGAATGTATATAGGTCCACAAGCGAACCATTAGTTTTGAATGCAAGTCATAATTTTTGATAGTTTTGGAAAGCAATGACATGGAAGAAAACTAACCCAACAGTTAAAACGGTGAACAGAAATGAAAAAGCCATGACTTTTTTCCTAACTCTGACCATTGAAAATCCAATCATTTAACTCCTCTGTTAGATCTGTTCTACTGGATCAGTGGTTCTTAAAATGGCAAGAGTCTTAGAATCACCTGGAGGGCTCACTAGAACACACACTCTTTTTTTTTTTTTTTTTCGAGAGGCCTTTCACTATAGGGCGCGTGCGCTCACCAGACAGAGAGAGACAGAGAGACAGGAAGCGAGAAATCACCTCCCAGAGGGGATGGCCTTCTCCTCCATTCTCCTCTCGGGATCTTGGGCACGCACGCACACGCGCCTGGCGTGGGTTTTAAGCCACTGGGTCCGGGATGCGAACCATGGTCAACTACGTGGGAGTCCAGCGACATAGCCATTACGCTAACTGCTGGTCCCTAGAACACACACTCTTGTGCCCCATCCCTGGAGTTCCTGATCCAATTGTTTTGGGAAGGGACTTCAGAATTTGCATTTCTAACAAGTTCCAGGTGGTGCTGTTGCTGTTGGCCTAGATGCCACACTTTGAAGATCACTGCCATAAGAAATAAAGGGAAGTTCAGTTTAATTCCAAATATTTTGAAAACTGGATAAAACATGCTATTTAAATTGGGGTTGATGCTCAGAAAAGAAGCACTATAATCTCAGGGTTCGTCACATAACATTTTGTGCTTTGTTTTACTCTTGATATAATGTATGGAGGGATCAAACTCTTGGATGATATTTCAATAAATGACATAAAAAGTATTTTATTACTTACAAATACATTTCTTTTTTATTATTTTATTTATTATTATTATTATTATTATTTTAAACATTGGATCACTATATATCATTTGGCTTGTAAAGAGAAGTTACCAAATGTGAAATACTTCTTATATCAGTCCAGTAAGAGAATACTATACATGTTATCATTAACAGGTAATAAACCATTTCTGTGTCCCACAATGTCATGCCTCTCTATTTGTTCTCCCTGATTTCCTTCCCTATACTTTCCCCTTCTCCCCTCCTCCACACTTTCTTCAGCATCCATAACTATTTTACTGCTTTTATGTCCTCCAATATTTCTGTCTCTACTATAGAGTGCAGATAGTCATACATTTCTTTTGCACTTAATATTTGAGTACAAATAACATCAATGATAAAGAGTTCTCAAAATCTTACAGTGTCAAAACACCCTTCATGAAAGTCCTCCAATACCTACTGTGTTATTGACAAAATGAAGATCAGAGCCAGATTTTGCAGACACCAAGTAGTAGTTCCTGATCCACCAAGTCAGATGTCACAATTTTGCCCATGACTGACTGAATATTCAACTATTTTCCCACCAGCAAGAGTGCACAGGGATGTCTTTTTAGATTAGAAGGATGACATTTGTTAAATCCACGGAGATCAGAAATTTTAGCCAGTTCTTTAGACAAGATTTTTCCTAGCACTTTCTTCCTAGCTTATTCTGTTCACTGTATTTAATCCCTTACACTATTTCTACATATCTTATTTATGTTTTGACAGTACTAAGAACATTTTAAAATATAAATGTATCTCCATTTGTAAGAAGTACAGTCTAAATGAATTCCCATCTCAAACAGCATTTCCTTTATGACTCTTATTTTGGAAGAGTAAGATCAATTAAAATTGTTCAATTATTGGGACTAGCAGATGGTGTAATGGTTATGTCGCTGGACTCTCACATAGTTGATCATTGTTAGGGTTCTCAGCATCTTAAAACTCACACATGGGCATGTGTGTGAGTACCCAAAATCCTAAGAGAAGAATGGAGGAGGGATTGCAGCATGGCCATCCCCCTGGGGGATAGAGGGGTGATTTCTTGCTTTCCGTCTCCCTCTATCTCCCTGTCTTTCCAGTAGGCACACACACCCTGTAGCAAAAATCTCTCTTTAAAAATAATTGTTCAGTTATTGAACTTCTTTCAATAAACTGGAAAATGAGGAGAAAAAAAAGTGCAGGAAGTGACTTTCAAATCACTGAACTCCTTTAGGTGATAGAGAAAATGGGTGGTCTGGTTGTGTTCTAAACAGTGTTGTCAAAAGTAGAGAAGTCAATGGACAACTGTCTCCAAAAGAATTTACTTACCGTAGTAGCAAAAATCAAATGTTTGACTTCCTAATGCTAATTTTGCAACAACCCAGAGTTCTATTTTACCTCAGAGGGTCTTAAGAAATTAATTTAGTCTATGGGGACCAGCAGATGGCATAATGGTTACATAGTTGGACTCTCATGTAGTTGGCTATGGTTCAAACCTCAAACCCAGCAGCTTAAAACTCATACCAGGTGCATGTGTGTACATGTCCAGGATCCTGAGAGGAGAAGGGAGAAGGCAAAAATCTCTCTCTTAAAAAAAAAAAAAAAAATTAGTCTCAATTCCCTCGCCTATGAACCAAACAATAGGAAACACTAGAAATTTTTAAAGGATCATGACTGGGAGCAGCAGTGTTCTGATTCTGACTGTAGGCCCATTTCCTTTTGAGCATTCATGAGAGGTCCAATTCAATCTTTTGTAAAAGCAAGCACATTTTTGCTAATATATTGGATTCTTATTTGTTTGATTGGCTTTGGAAGGGGCATGCATCCTTAGAAAATGGCACAAAACTTTTCTTTCCCAAAGAGTACATATCTATGTATGAAGATACATACTTCATATATACATATGAAGATACACATATAATTGTGAATGCAGCCTTCAAAATCTAAACTCTACTGTTTAGAGAAAATTATAGTTGAATAAACTATAGGTCTGAAACTGTTGAATTATGTCTCTTAATCTATATATTTCTTCTGTATTTCTGTTTTTAGCACCCTCAGCGTTCAGTGGGTATCCTCCATCCAGAAGGACAATGCCGAATTAAATATAAAGAAAGAATATGACATCTGCTGGGCCTCAAGAGGGCCATTCCGTATGCAGGAGTGATGACACCCCATCCACTAACATGGCAGTGCCTACACCTGAAGTCTATTAAAACATCCTGCTTTACTTTGCTTTAGAACTTAGTGCAAGAAAGTGTTGAAATAGTGCATGTATTTGCTATCTTTTGAGAGTAAACCAAGAATCTGATATCACTCTAAGCAGTAGAGAGACCAGAAGACAAGGCTTATAAAAATATATAAATGATGTTTAAAAGAAACCAAAACATCTATAAAGAAGTTGGTATTTGATTTCACACAGAATTGTATTAAAATTTTAAATAAAAATCATTTCATTTGAATAAAAACTCTAAGTATATTAAATTCATGGTGAAGGTAACATGTAAATTTCTATCTTGAGTCAATAAATCTTAGACTAAAAAATACTGCATAATAACTTCTAGAATTTTTTTTATTTTTTTAATATGATTATTAACTAGCAATTGGAATTCTTAAACTCTATGAATGTAATTCTTTTTTATTGGAGAGGTTTTTGCTATAGGGCGTGTGCGCTTGCCAGACAGACAGAGAGAGACAGAGAGACAGAAAGCGAGAAATCACCCCCCCAGGGGGGATGGCCACACCGCAATCCCTTCTCCTCCATTCTCCTCTCGGGATCTTGGGCACGCACGCACATGAGCCCAGCCTGAATTTAAGTCACCAGGTCTGGGACTTGAACCACAGTCGACTACGTGGGAGTTCAGTGACATAGCCATTACACTAACTGCTGGTCCCTGAATGTAATTCTTTACTGTAAACATGAACATGTCTAATACTAAAAGTATGAATAACTGATAGTTTTCTAAAACCTGTGAGGACAGGAATCATTTCTTACACTCATTTCTATACTCTGCTATGCCCAGCACTTCTTCTGTAGGGTATTTTTAATAAATGTATATTGACTGATATACATTTATTTTTTATTTTAATTAAGGTGCAGTATTAGGGTTATGCTGTCAAGGTGAACATGGTAGCAGTGGAGCTCAGTTTCACTAGGACCACCTGAGAAGCCTATACTATACTCCCAGAATTGTTCATCTGAGGAATAAGAAATAGGAGCATTTACTGACTGACTCCTATTCCCCATTGATTGATAATTACTCCTGGGATATTAATTAACCCTGCACTTCCAAACTGCATTTGTCTGTGGACTGAGCAGTTTTCCAGAGAAACTGTAAGGCACCATGATGTAAGTCAGCATGAGGTAAGTCTGAGCTTGCACTACACTGTTGAACTTTGTGGGCTGAGAGGATGTGATGTGTAGGTACCAGAGACATCTGATACACTTCAGTCTGCTGCTCAAGCTCCACACTAAGTCAGCTCCACACTGCACCCCTCTGGCTGGCTATAATTTGTACTAAGGTCCTAAGGTGAGCCGCTGGTAGCACAGTGCTTAAGTGCTTACATATGAAGCCAGATTCCACATGACCAATCATGGTACAAATCCTGCCCCTGGTGACTTGAAATCAATATGCTGTTCATGTGTGTGCTTGTGCCCAAAATCCTGATGGGAAGGCTCCTGGGACTGAGAAGGAGAAATAGAAAAAGGATTGCAGCGTGACTATACCTCATTGAGGATTATGGGGAGAGGCTGCTTTCTCTCTTTTTCGAAGTCTAGTGCACACAGACACCTATGACAATAAAATTATAAAAATAAATATAAAGTAAAAGGCCTAAGTCACAAAGATTAGCTTAAGAGGCTATAGTCCTGTTTTGTGAGGTTCTTTCCTCTTCTGAAGGTGGGTCAAACAGAGGTACAAAGAGTTAAAGATGTGAAGCACCGATGTCATGTTTATTGCTGAGTTCAAGGTAAGCTCACGGACCTCTAGAAGCATCACAAGGTGCTTCCTCCCTCTTGGAGCTTACAATGTGCATGAAGAGCACTCAGAAATGCTTCCTCCCTCTCAGAACTTATAAAACCCACAACAATGTGGAGTTGAGCTGAGCCAAACCAAGGCCATCAGGGCTGAGCTAGCCAAACCAAGGCTGAGCTGAGCAGGGCTATCTAAGCAGAACTAAGGCCAAGCAGATCAGACCTATTTAGCTAAGTAGGGCTAGCTGATCAGGTGCTTCTTTCTCTTAAAGGGGTTGTAGGCAATAGTGGGTCATTGCCGAAACCAAACTGTCTCACATGCCCAGCTTGGTGCATGTAATGTGCATTACATGCAATGGCATAAAACAACAAAGTCCTAATTACATAACAGGCATGCAAGCACAGTACAACTAATAACATAAGTTGTTTATCCTGTGGCTTTCAAACATGATAAGTTAGAGAGTGAGGGAGCCAGCATGAGGAGCCCCAGGAGACTGAGAGAGAGTTGCAATTTCAGCAGGTTCAGTGGAAACCTTACTGTGTCACTTGGTTAAAGCATCCCCTTCTCCCATTGGTACTAAGGCACCTACTCCAACAGAGCTTAGGGATTCAGCAAAAGGAAACACATTTCTCCAGTAGGTCTCTGGAAGTAATTTATACAATGGTCAATTCTATTTCAACCCCTGTGTTCCTAGACCTGTGTATTCTAGCTCTTGGAGACATCCTAGTTAATAGAGACAATGCTGGTCATTGGATTAGATGGATTGGATGCATAATGCATCCTACAAAACAGAATCCCAACCTGCAGATATGCTAAGCAAGCATCTTCATTGCTTCCAGATGCTATGTTAATAACAAATTTCATGGCCCATTACAGAACTTCCTTTGCTTAAGAATACCTGTGTTCTGATGTTATGAAAAAAATCCATGTTGATATAGTAAGTATATTGTAAAAGTTCTGGCGGTGCTGTCGTGGAAAGCCTATAGTTAGGACCCCATCATATGTGCTGCCTTGACATCTGAACCAGGGAGGACCTCAAATGGCCTAACAACCTGCTCTCCTCCTTACTCTCCTAGCTGCTCCCTTAGCCAAATAATGCTCGTTATCAGAGAAACCTGGCACAATTTCTGCTTGTTACGCAGTAGTGGGTTTCAGTTCTCTGCCAGCTTGTAGGATTATTCAAACAAGCTGAAAACAGCCAGTGACAGAGCACTGCAGACAGTGAAAGCAAACATACATAGGAAGTTGGGATAAATTGCTAGCCTCTCCAGGGTAGAAGAGTTCTAAGCAATTTGCCTTTCATTGAGAGATGGTATCATATTAAGAACTCAATACTATCCTCTGCTCCTGGCAGACCAGGCATTCAGTAGTGGCAGTGGCTCTATCATCTTTGGTAAAAGCACAGCCTGCATCTTTTCAATCATGGGCACACCATTCATGGGTCCATTAAGCAAGCAGTGAAATGGTAGAAGAAAGAGGCACTATCCACTGTAAAGTGAGTCACCCTGTCCTCTGGTTGTTGCGAGCATTCTCTTTCTTTTTTGAGAGGTTTTTGCTATAGGGCGCATGGGCTCACCAGACAGACAGAGAGAGACAGTGAGACAGAAGGCGAGAAATCACCTCCCAGTGGGGATGGCCATGCCGCAATCCCTTCTCCTCCATTCTCTTCTTAGGATCTTGGGCATGCATGCACACACACCCAGCGTGAGTTTAAGCCACCGGGTCCAGGACTCGAACCGCAATCAACTACATGGGAGTCCAGCGACACAGCCATTACGCTAACTGCTGGTTCCTTGAGAGCATTCTTTGCAGTGGATGATCTTTGCTGGAGATTATTAATGTGAAACATAAAGCTCTCCATACTTTGTGCTCACTCCTTTAAGTCTCTCCTTATCTTTGATCTTTCACATTTTTTTCTAGGCCTCTTGACCAATCAGTCAATCAATTTGTTACTGTTCAAGAGTCTATGCACATTTATACCTCTGCACAAAAGAGAGGGCTAAAAGCAATGTCCAAAACTCTGCCCAGTATGAGAATTTCACTCACACTGTCTTTTTGGGAAACCCCTAAATGTAGTTGAATGGAACAGAAGTTCCATTTTAAGTTTGCTCCCACATATCAAACTATGTTGATATGTTAGACCTATATGTTAACCAGAACCCCAATTTTCCCTCCTCTGTGAGCTAGTCATACCTAACAGTTAAAGGTGTGAATTGAAAGATATGTATCAGTATAATAGGGGTGACCTATTTATGAAACCTATTGCTGTCTTCTGGACTTGCTCAGATCTGATCCAAAATGTACTTTTGCCTCATGAGGTTGTAAATCTACCAATTCATCCTGAGACTCATCACCACCTAGAGTGACAGTGCTCAAAGATGCCACTGGCGAGCTGGCAGTGGTAATACTTGTGCTTGTAGTTAGTGATCTTAAAGGCAATGTCTCTGCAGAGTAGTCTTGTATGGACTCGCAGGATGGTAAAGTCCTCGTTCAGATAGAAGTCAAGGAGGTATACTGGTGTCAAGTGCTTGTCAAGGTCTAGGTAAAAGCTGTTGAACTTAGAGGTCTACATAATATGGAGTGAGGGATTGCCATATGGTCATCCCCTCTGGGGAATGATTTCTCACTTTTGCTCTCAGACACTGGCTCTCCAGCAAGTACATGAACCCTAGGGCAAAAAAAGAAAAAGAAAAAAAAAAAGCAAACTAAAATCCAAGCAGGAGAAATGTCATGTTAGGAGACTATAATATGTTCAATAACTAATGAAGACAACCCTCTGGTTGAAACTGCTTAAGTGAATGGTGCTTTTAAGACAGGAGGGAAAAAATGGAACACAAGTAAATTTCCAACATCGATTGGCAACGAAAATTTTCTTCCATGACACATTAATGCATCAATTTCTCCAATAAAAAGGTGCATAAAAGCTGATAAAATTCACCAGTGGTTTTCATGTTCATGACTTAATTATACTTTATTATTTTAAGAATCCATTACATAGCTCTACAGAGCCCTAGGAGTCAAAGAAGCACATTTTGAAAAACACAACTACGTACACTCTGTGCAGCAGAGACATTTATTCATGATAGAGGACATGCTTGTGCATGTGAGAGAAAAAGAAGTAAAAGAAAAAGAGAAGTATCCTTCTCTGGTCACACTGCAATTCCCTTTCTCCAATCCTCCTGCCTATCTCATATGTTGACATGTCCAGCACATTGCAGAGTGACTAAGCCAGTGATTCACGCTGCCTATGAGAATCCGAACTCTGGTTGCCATGCAGGCTCCACCTTCTTTTGAAGAACAGCATATTGCCACTGCACCACAGAACCAGCCCTAGTGCCCTCTGACTGGCAGATGGTTCCCCACACTTCTCAGCACTGTGACAATTACACAGGAGCACGTGAGACAGTGCTCAAAGATGCCACTGGCGAGCTGGCAGTGGTAATACTTGTGCTTGTAGTTAGTGATCTTAAAGGCAATGTCTCTGCAGA